AAGAAAGAAAGAAAGAAAGAAGGAAGGAAGGAAGGAAGGAAAGAAAGAGAAGAAGGAAGGAAGAGAAGAAGGAAGGAAGAGAAAGAAAGAAAGAACGAAAGAAAGAAAGAAAGAAAGAAGGAAAGAAAGAGAAAAAGGAAGGAAGGAAGAGAAAGAAAGAAAGAAAGAAAGAAAAGAAAGAAAGAAAGAAAGAAAGAGAAGAAGGAAGAGAAAGAAAGAAAGAAAGGAAGGAAGGAAGGAAAGAAAGAGAAAAAGGAAAGAAGGAAGGAAGAGAAAGAAAGAAAGAAAGAAAGGAAGGAAGGAAGGAAGGAAGGAAGGAAGGAAGGAAGGAAGGAAGGAAGGAAGGAAGGAAGAAAGGAAGAGAGGGAGGCAGGGAGGGAGGGAGGGACCCGTCCCCACAACGGTGCTGCGGGCAAGCCCTTCACCACAAACGGACGTCCCGTTGAAACTACGCCAGAAGGGCCCAGTAAACAAAATGAACAGCATATCAGTGTTTAGGCAAAGAGCCCTAATGCAAACCAGTTCAGACAGCGCCCAGGGACACGGCGTCCCCCTCTCCCTCCCACCCCCGGCGCTTGGAACCTGCGCTCCGCTGTCCTTGAAACGGTTCCATTAGGACTTCTGTTGCTCACATTCCCCTAAACTTGGGAGTAGCTCCGAAGAAAAGAGAATGTTCCCGTTCCTCTCTAGAAACCCAGAGGAATCTCCGACTACGGCCCGGCTCCCTTTCCTTCCGGCTATTGGTTCCTTAGGTGTGATTTGGTTAGGGAAATTGGGAGGGAGGGGGAGTGAAGTTAAAAAAAAAAAAATCCAGGAAAAAGCGAGCTGGAGCCGTGAGTGTGTCAATCAGAGGGTTTTGTGCCTTGGGGCTCCTAGCGGTTCGGAGCAGAGGTGTCCCCGGGCGGCCCCACAATGAATATGAATAGGAATCCTTGCTAAATGGGACAGCAAAGCGCACCGCCCTGAATGACGGCACGTCACCCTAACCAGCCCAGGATAGATAGGAGGGTTCCTTTTGTCTCTCTTCTCCGCCGCTGCTCTATAAAAGCCCCTCTTTTTCAGCGTGAGGTTAGTCCAAGCAAACACCACCCCGCTGTCCAGGAAACAGCCTAACCCGGAGAGACGGGCGTGGGGAGGGAGAAAGGCGGGGAAAGGCAGTGCCTCCGCTTTTCTTCTCACGTCTTGCCACTGAGAAGTGGGTCGCTGGGCTGTACCGATTTTTCTTTTTCTTTTTTTTTTTTTTTAATTCAAGATTTTCTTTAATTTCCCACCTAAAGCCTCCCCGCGGTAGGGCCGCATCCCCCGTAATAAAATGAATTCTGACTCGAGCTCTGTCTCCAGCAGAGCTTCGTCGCCGGACATGGATGAGATGTATCTGAGGGAACACCACCACCACCGCCACCACCACCAGGAGAGCCGTCTCAACTCGGTCTCCTCCACGCAGAGCGACATGGTGCAGAAGATGCCCGGGGAGAGCCTCTCGCGCGCCGGCGCCAAGGCCCCCGGTGAGAGCAGCAAGTACAAAATCAAGAAGCAACTGTCTGAGCAGGACCTACAGCAGTTAAGGCTGAAGATCAACGGCCGGGAGCGCAAGCGGATGCACGACCTCAACCTCGCCATGGACGGGCTGCGCGAGGTCATGCCCTACGCGCACGGGCCCTCGGTGCGCAAGCTCTCCAAGATCGCCACTCTGCTGCTGGCCAGAAACTACATCCTCATGCTCACCAGCTCCCTGGAGGAGATGAAGAGGTTGGTCGGCGAGATCTACGGGGGCCACCACTCTGCCTTCCACTGCGGGACCGTGGGCCACTCGGCCGGCCACCCAGCGCACGCCGCCAGCGCGGTGCACCCGGTGCACCCCATCCTGGGCGGCGCGCTCTCGTCCGGCAACGCCTCGTCGCCGCTGTCCGCCGCCTCGCTGCCGGCCATCGGCGCTATTCGACCTCCCCACTCGCTGCTCAAGGCGCCCTCCACGCCGCCCGCGCTGCAGCTGGGCAGCAGCTTCCAGCACTGGGCCGGCCTGCCCTGCCCCTGCACCATCTGCCAGATGCCGCCGCCGCCGCACCTTTCAGCTCTCTCCACCGCCAACATGGCTCGGCTGTCGGCCGAGTCCAAGGACTTGCTCAAGTGAGCAGAGGACGGGCCGGCTGCCGAGGATGAGGGGAGAGCGGCGGGAGGGACTGCGGCGTCGGGCCGGGAGGGGAGAGGGAGGCTGAGCTCTCGCCGGCGGGAGGGTGAGGGTGAGCGCGGGGGCCCGCGGCCTTCCACCGCGTCTGATATCTCGGGCCCCGCTTGACCCCACCCCCCACCCCGAAGGCAAAGGACCAAAACCAGACTGCAGTTTCTAGGTGGTAACGAAGGGGGACCCGAACCAGACTTCGTGTGTTTTGCATGCATGCTTCTTTTCGCCATGCCGCGCCAGTATTTCTCACTTACATATGCTCTTGTCAAAACTGCATTTGTTGTATAAAGACGGGATCGGTGTGGTTAAAAACTTGCTAAGGGACTTTAGAGTTGGCTTTCTCTGGCTCCGCGTTCTCACCTTGGAAAAGACAACATCCCTTTGGTGCAAAACAAATGTAAATATTTCCTCGAGATGGATGCAATTACGATTGTCACTATCTCTCCACAGTTGTTTTTCCAGAGACAATGAGAGAGAGAGAGAGAGAGAGAGATCAAGACCCAAGTTTTGCATCTCAACTCCGGTCCAGGGCATGACATCTCTTATGTGGGTTTTCCTTAAGACGCAGTGTAGGTCAAAAGAATGCATGCAAGCTTCTAAATGAATCTTATCTAAACATGTTGTGCAGGCCGTGATGCCATTTTCCTTGTAACAAGGATTTATTAGTGAATTCTCCGAAGTATCCATATATTTGTCTGTGGTTGTATGAAATGAAAAAAGGGGGCAGAGTGCAAAGACCCAAACTCACGCACAAGCGCTTCTTCCCCCACTCCCACCCCCTTTGAACTCCATTCCCAAACTCCATCCCTAGGCTGTTCTAGGGGCCAGCTACTGCCAGAGCGTGGGCTCCCTCTACTAGCTTGCCCCCCCCCTTCCCCCTTGCTCAGTGATTCTGCATGCGGGGTTGGCTCTCTCTATCATCAGCTTTGAAAAGTTATCGTGGTTTGGGGAGGGGTGCCGTTTTTATTTTCCTGAACATTTGCTTGAAATATTTTGTTAGGGCCTCAAAGACAATACCTGTCTTTATTTTTTATATATTCTTGATAACTATGATATATTTATTAATAACCAGTGTTTCTGGATGAGATTTCAAATAAAAAAGAACCTTTAAATCCTGGCTTTGCCTTTGCCTAAGATTTTTGAAGATGGGGGCAGTGGGTCAGGAATACGTGGACCCCATAAGGTGTATCCAGCAGTGGGTGAGAGATTTGACTGGGTGGGCAGATACAAAGAGTTTTCTCTGGTCATTCACAGGTAAAAAGGTCAGATAAATTGGTGTTAATTATTACAACCAGATGTCCTTCAAATGGGAGCATTGTTCACATTGGTAGCCTTGTGATATTTGAGCTCCTTATTTCTCTGCAGTAATCAGACGCTCATAAACTCAGCAATTGAGATTTTTAAAAAGTAATCTGAAAACCCAGAGTGACAGGAAATGAGAGGCAGAGTGGCTGCACCGGCTGTGTTGACAACAGACAGGAATGAAGCAGTAAGTGAAGTTCTTTTCACTTTATATTGACCATGTAGCCTTTAAAAAATAAACAGGTTAAAGTCCACTATATGTTTTAAAAGTCAACAAAGAGGGGTCCTAGAAAATAATCAAATACCCACTCTTCTGCCTGTCCCCTTGGCAGTGGGCCCCACAGAGAAAGGGAAGGCCATGCCCATGCCGCTTTGTAAGGTGAGCTCAGGATGAGGCCAGTCACTTCTTAAGTCCCAGCATCTGGAAGATTTATAGCAGTAATTCTCCCTTCTTTCCTCCAATAGATTGCAGGTCTGATCAGATGACTGCATTGGGCATCTTCTACGTAAATGATGGCTAAAACAGGGGTCATTTGAATCAATTAAGTTTCTCTCTTCATCCGTCACCAATTCCATAACACTTCCAAATAGTTTGTTAAGCAAAAGTAATCCAGCAAGAAAGTTGTGTTTATTTGTTTATACCGGACAAGAAATCAAGTCCTAGTGATGATCACCCCAACAGCACAAGCCTGTATTTCTCACTACGGAAAATGGAAATCTGATTGAAATATACCACCTCGGAAACTGACCTCTGGATTAGATGGAACATCCCCGTCAGTTGGTTGAGGCTTAAACTCTTCAAGAGGGGAAGCTGGTGGTTTTCACTGCAGAGCAATAGAGCTGTCTCTCTCCAGGATCCAGCAGGGATAGCATATCTAGGGATTATCTGCCCTTTCCTCCCTAGGCTCTCCACCACCTGCCCTCGGGATGGCGTCTCTGTAGGTCCTGGCTCTATTGAACTCAGTCTCCTCCAACTCCCCCACCCCCTCAAGCTCCCCCACCGCCAGGGAGAAAGACCAAAGTGAGGGTCTACAGTGGAGGGTGCTTATTTCCCCTGGTTTTCAGCAGACAAATGGGGGAATAATCGTCTGTTTCCCAAGTGTGATTCATTTCTCTGGGTGAGGAAAGAGCTGTTGAGGATTTATTTGAAACCAACACAAGGCAGCCCTCCAGCCTTTCCGGGTGAGTTTATTATTTAAAAAAGGGAGGGGAGGGAGAAGTTTCATCAATCAGGAAAACGACTTTCCCCTGAGCTACTTGCTTCTTTGTAGTCCTGCTTGCAAAGGTCTGCTCTTGGGGAAAGACTGGAGCGCTGACCACTGGCTTCGTGGTGGGCTTCGCCCTTCTCTATAGCTGAAACAAACCTAAAAGAGAAAAGCCACACTCACACAGTGAATGGTGAATTTTGAGATAGTCCTGCCTGTCAAATCCCTTTAGATACATCCAATGGTCAATTTAAACAGCCGTTAAGGTCCATTTTCGTTGAAAACTATATTAGAAGGAACCACCTGGCCAGGGAATCCTATCTTGAATTATCCAACTGAAGCAGAAAAGAGACATTGCTTCCAACCTTAAGGGAGTTCCCCTAGCCTGGCCGGACTCTTCTCTCTGTGTTGCAAATCTCCTTTGACCTAGAGACTGGGAGAAGGGATTCCTTCAAAGACAGGACAGGAACTCAAGGAGAAAAATGATCTGGGAGCCAGATTGTTTGGATTTTCTTGATTCTTTGGGAGGAAGCATTAGCCACTGGCCTCCGGGACAGGTCTTGTCCCCAGACGAGCTGTTCTACTGGGGATGTGACTTTGCAGGCGGCTCTTACTTGCAATTCCCGTTAAATTCTCCAATTACTGACGCCAACGACCAAAGTGTATGTCCGCCTAGGTGAGAATGGTTCTTGGGCGGATTTTTTTTTCCTTGCAAATTTGCCACTTTCTCGAAATTCTCAAGTTCAAGGCGGCTTTTAACTCAATCTAGAAACGCGACGAGGATTTCTTCGTTCCAGAATAAACTTGCTTCACATTTAAAAGAATGGCGAAATCCTCGTGGGCGTTGATAACTTGAGGGGTCGTGCCCTCCATAGGAGCCTCGCAGGGCTTTAAGCAGGTGGCCAGACTTTAAGGGCGGGAGGAAGTCACATTTCAAAGGGAAAGCGGGCCGGCTTGGGCTGGCTGCAGCAGAAAAGTATTTCTAAGGAACGCCGCTCCCTCCCCAGGGTTCTGAGACCTTGGGTGTGTATCTCCGGGAAGGGCTGGGTGAGGCGGCCGGGGTGGGGGTGGGGGGTGGAGGGAGTGCGCGACGGTTTTCCTAACTCCTATAGGAAAAGGACTTCGGTCTCTCCAAACTTTTGTTTGTTTGCTTGCTTGTGTGTTTGTTTTCCTAAGTAGCTGCGTCAAGCGAAGCTGCATAGCCTCCGCTGATACCTTAGCAGGAATTGCAAAAGCCCGGATTCTCTGAGCCTCTCGCACAGCCAGCAAGATTTCGCTGCCTCTACAGGTCCCTTCTGGGGACTCTGGGCCCCACTCTCGTCCTCCCACCACCCGTCTGAACTTGCCCTCCATCCTGCCCCCCCCCCCCCGCCTCCACCCTGCTCTCGCCTCTCTGCGGCCCTTGCACGCTGGCGACTGGCCTCGGGGCCTGGGCACCTCGGACCCTCGGTGACCCGGCGGGCGCCCCTGCGGAAGCTCAGCCTCACCCCTCCCCGGCTCTGGTGGTACCCACGGGGCTGCAGGACTTAGTCCCTGGCTCGCGGGGTCCCAGCCCCCGCACCTCTTCCTCGGACCCTTCTCGTCCCAAGGTCCGAGGTCACCCCGGGCCCGCGGCTCCCGGACGGAGCAGGGACGGGGAGTAGTGAGGAGGCGACGTCAGGGCCTGGCGCCCGACCTAGGCTGCAGGGGGTGCGAGCGGCTCCTGGTTTGCGCCCCCCGGCTCCGCGCACGCTTAGAAAGCGCAGCCAGAGGTGGGGGCGCGGCAGAGGGTCGCTGGCAGTGTCCTCGGAGGGAAGGGGGCCGAGGCGGGGCGGCGGGTCGAACGGGACGCGCCCCCCTCTCCCGCCTGCCACGCCGAAAACTCGCAGGAGAAAGAGCGCCCCTCCCTCTCCACCTCGCAGGTGCCAGGCCTCCTCGGGGCCCACTTCCCTTACAAGCAGCCGCGAGGAGCCCAAACCCGAAGGTTCGGGTCTACGGGGTTGCTTTTCAGTGGACCTTCCGTGGTTCAGCGAACCCTTCCGTGGGCCGGAGAGGTCGCGGGGCTGCGAGGGGGCCGGGGAGGGTGGGTGCGGGGAAGGCCGCGGGGAAGAGGGAGACAGAGAGCAGCGGCGACCCAGGGACCCGCTCCGGGCCGGCCCCCGCCGTGCCGCCCACCCGCCGAGTGCGCAGCGGGTCCCTCGGGTCTCCCGCACCCGGCGGTGGTGAGCCGGGAGCCCAGCCCGCGTCCGGGCTCCGCGCTGCAGACACTGTCCCGGAACTTCGCATCAGGTTCTGGGGCCCAACGCAGAAGGGGTGTCGGCGCCGAGACCACAGCTTGTTCAGGTTGGGGCCTCGTCTCCTGGGAAGTGACGGTCCCCCCGCTCTGACCTCAAGAGCCGAGAGAGGTGGGAGCGCAGGCAACAAAAGGCAGATAAACCGGAGAGGGACGTCCCCGAGCTAGGC